TAAAGATATTCAATATGACATTCTTTATCACTTATTGTTGCCAGAAAGAAAAGCGTCATGTCGTCGTCTTATATGTTCAACAGCGTGTTTGTATCCTGAAAAGAATCTTCAAAGCACAACAGTCGTTTTTAATGTCTTCGTTCTCTTCTAACGTATTTCTAAGGAGAAAAGTTGGAAAATCGAAATCTGAATTATTAGTTAGTCCGCAAATTTTCTTTGTTTTCCAGGTGGATCAGTCCTCAAGTCAACACTTATACGCTATACGTCATAAATTTATTTGTTTTTCGTTTTAACCAAAGCGTAATGAAAATAACTATAAAAACGTCGTCAATTTGATGTTTAACTTTCCGTCAGTCTAATGTAATCGTTTACTAAATAAACTTTCCTCATTAGGCTATTTTATGTTAATTTATTATACCATCACCAAATTTATATGAAAATTTGTTTTATTATACAATGTTGTGAAAAACAGCACATAGTGTTAACAATACTGTCCCACAATTTTTTTCTATATTTTATAGCATTCTGCAAACAGCTACACTACATATCGAGATCCATAATAATTTCTCAGATATGTAAGTATAAGATATTTGTAACTACACACAAAACAGAAACATTGCGAAAAAAATTAAATTTGTTGCATTTTGGTCGTCAACTTGGTTGTCCTTTCACTAATGTCACCTTCATATATTTATATTAAAATTACGGACCAGTGCGTTTTTGCGAAACTTATATATGAAGTTAAATTATATAAAAAAATGTGCATAGTATGTATAAATATTTCACCTTCTAAAAATATACACATGCATGATTGTGTCACAGTTCGCCCCAATATCTTGAAATAAAAATTAAAATATTTAATAAATAATTTGAGGTCTGTGTTTAAAAGGTACTGTTAAAATTCTATGTCTTCAAAAAACATCAGATGTACCTACCAATAAAAAATGTTTTGTAGAATGTTGTTCTTTTAATAATTTATATTTACCTTTATTATTTTCGTTGCAATTATGAATCTTTGACGAGTCTCTGCACAAATGTTATTTTGTTTAAAATGAAACATATTTTTAATTACAATCCGTTCGATAAAATTGAATTCGAATATGGGATGTTTATTTTGCTCAAAAGAAATATGTACTCATTTAAGGTGGCTATCCATTTTATCATTTGATTTTGACAATGTACTTCCATGATTATAGTTACACATTTTGTGTACGACCTGCATTCTGTTTTCATTCCGTTATGTACGTAAGTGACGTTCAAAACAGATATTTTTTATTAGAACACGGAGAATCAAATTCCTGTATTTCAAACGGAATTGCTGTTATAACGTCCACTTATGATAAATATAGAAGTCGAGTGTTTTAGGGACTTTAAATCGATGTACATCTGTTTACGCACATGCACTTGCCATCTAGAATCCAGATCATATTATGTTTGTCATAAATTACAATTATACATTTGTTGTCTGTTAAATTTGACTAAAATTAACCCAGTTTCAATTATTCATACTTAAACGCAACCACTGCACTTGTGTACAGTAGTAAAAAATGTTTCTACAAAGGTTTTAACAGATGAATTGAGATTTATGAGTGTGGTCTTAAAATCTTAATCCCCAGTGTGCCCTATAGTGAAAAAATGTGGCGCCACACACCTAACCCAGTATAGAATTTCCAATAAATCAAGTCAAAGGCATAAACCTACCACGTTTTTTGCCCTTCAGTCGACTGAAACGAATCAATTACTACGTTCTTCGCAAAATTTATCAAACAGTGTATAACACAAGGCACACTATCTGTACTCGCTTTCTGAATTCTATAACACCATGTTTATATACTTTGTATGCTTCGATTACAAACGTAGTCGCTTACATAAAAACAAACTACATGTTTAAAGTAATATCTACGTAGGTTCAGACCTTGCTACAACTTAAGTCGACATATGTTGGCACTTAGATGACCTAAAAGGAATGTCACACAATTTGTAGTAAAAGAAGCAAAAAAACCACACGCACACACGCTTACGTGAAAAAGATACCAAACACATCCCAAGGGTTTACGCCCCTTATCTGTTTTCTGTCACTCGGCAAGCCACACATAGTGACCAAGTATAATATCCAAATCCGAACAGGGGATTTCTTTAAAATATACCGTCGCACACTCATAAATCGATGACGTATTTTCCAAAAGACATCAAGTGTCAGCCGGATAATCTTCAGTGTTGAAATATTTATAAAAACAGTAATTTTCGGACGCGGTTCTTGAGCTTTCAACGGTATCAATAAATATGAGTTCCTTGAATGTGATGTTTGTCTTATAACAAATATGTAACCGACAGGGTATATAACATATCTTTCATTATTTTAAGAGATTAGGTAAAAAAAATGTTTAATAAAAATAAATTACAAAACCATACATGCCATTGAGAATTTATGAAAGGTGCTAAAGCATGAACTTTAAAAAAAATATTCGAGAAATTAATTTCACATAATTTTATTTTTGTTTATCGTGTTTTCACTGGATTTACTCGTCGTTTTTACAGTAGCTACATTGTAGGTATATTATAAAATGTACCTTGTAAGTTGGTATTAATAGAATTAGCTTCGGTAATTTCAGATAAATTCAATTGGCAATAAAATGAACGTTGCCAACGAATCGCAAAGTACTTATATCTTGACGAAGTTTCAGTACCTATTCCTTTAGTGAATATATTAAATCTGATAAAATTAGTACTGAGTGGAGTTATCATAGATTCATCATAATCATTCAGAAATAAAAGACGATCAAAAAAATGAAAACAACTAGCTTTCCTCGATAATTTTCTTCTTCAGGATTCAGGTATTGAATAATCTTGAAAAAGTACTTTCAAAACTGTAAACTGTGATAAAAAAAATTAACAGGAAGATTTCCATATTTATGTTGTTTTTACAAAACAATGCGCCTGCCCACCTTTCGTTAGCATTACGTTGAAAAATGTTAAAGAATTAGCTAATGAACTTTTCGAGAATTGCTTGTATCACCATTCATATGTTACCTAAACCAAAAAAAGTTTGGGCGCACAAAATATCTAGTTACGAGCATGAAAAAGATTTATTATAAGAAGTAAGTTTTTCAAAAATTGTTAATGGCGATTCCTTGAAATTTTCGTTAACTCTTAAAAATATCGGGCTTAATAATAACTGAATATTTTTTTTCAATTTCTTTACAATAGTTGCAAATAGTATAGCTAAACTTTTCAATGAAAAAAGTAAGGACTTTTTTCTTTAGTATTTCGTCATTATTTCAAAAAAATTATCGACAAAATTTGCTTTCGTTTGCACAAAGAAAAACAAATAAAGTTCGCTATTTAACATCAGTTGAACAAGCTTAAAAATGTATACATAACAAAAATTAATAGCAAAGTATAAAATTAAAATGAAATGAAGCTTAATAAAGTATAAGGCCATCCAAAAAACAGTTGGAAAAATTATATATTTAACCTAAAAAAATACTACTTTATATGGTTCCTTTTTTTTTTTAATAAGCAATTTATAATATGTAGGTATTACAAAAAATATGATCTGTTGCATTTGCGTAAATTAATGAAAGTGATGACGAATGTCCTAATGTCCCCTACATGAAGAATAAATGAAATAAGCTACACAAATTGCAATCTATTTCTCGAATGTTATAGCACTCCTTAAAACGAAACTTTTTTGAAACATTGTATTACAAATTAAAATTACGTTGTTCAAAATAATTATAGCAAATAAAATCACTTTTAAAGTTATAATTATAGTTATATACATTACATGCAATGTATGTATATGCAGCAATATACATATTTTGAAGCCAAAGACTTAATTCAAACGACACTGTGAAACCAAAATTTTTAGACCTCATTATAGTGCAATTCAACAGAATTACTTTGACGTCTATAAAACCAAATATTTTATAATTCTAGCACTGACTCAAAAAAAAGTGTATAGGATTACACTAATCAGTAGTGTGTGCGTAATAGTTTTGGTTTTTCCTTTTTATCACTAACTGTTAAGCTTCAAGTGTAAAAAAATAAAATTGCTGCGCATAAAACATAAAATATATGTAAACTTTGCAAAATAGCCTCAAAGAATAAAAACTTTCTTATTCTTTACTTTTTACTGGTTCGTTAAGTTACAACTAAACACAATTGTGGATCAGCGCTTGAAATGTGAGCTTGTGAACTCTGTGAACTAATGGTCAGTTCCAAAATTCGAAGCTCGCATTGATTTATTTTGTTTTGTGTTAAAACAACAACATTGTCTCTTCCACATTCTTTCCACATAAGTAGTCACGTCTGTTATTACGACAAACACGTCATTTGCCATAATGGGTTTTAGATTATCTTTTTCATTAACTAGGCGTCTAAATTCACACTGTTTAGGAATGAAAATCCCACCAGTATTCTAATTTTTGCATCACACAGCAAGACAGACAAGGTGATTATCCAACCCAGCTTGATTACCTATCAGAAATAAACATAAAAACATGAATCATTAAATATTCTTAATCAGCAGAATGCAATTAGCTTCTTCCAGCGTAGGTCAGGATTTTGTATCTGGTACTCATTTGACGTTATTTTTTGATAAATTGATGCGACTTTATTTTTAAAAAATAAATTCTTGCATTGATAGAGATCAAAGTTCATATGTCCGTTATCGCATGGTTTCTTCATCACTACGCGGATTTGTTTTGATCGTACGCACCTTTGAAAGGCACAAACTTTGCAGTTGCAACCTGTTATCAAAATAAGAAACGGCGTTCTTCTTTAATCGGTACATACAAACCGACTTTAGAAACATGATTCCACTATTAGAAATTCAGTTATTTACTTTCATGTGATAATAGTTCCAAGCGTAATTAAAGATTTTAGAACGTTGGATATCGTTAAAAATAAGTACTTTGTACTTACATTCGGTTCCGCTAAAGCTAGGAATGTGAAAAATGATTTAACCCTTCACCCTTGACAAAACCACATTAACTTACTTGCTGAAAGGGACGCGGATGCCGATAAAGGTCTATTTCTTGCACCACCAGGACTTAAGATATTGTACTGAAGAGTTCCAGTTGGTTCCGAATATTGCCAATCGCTGTAATTAGATGAACTAGGAACGGTGTAAGGGGCACTTCTGTGATGCGAATTTGAGTGAAGAGTTGATAACCTATTGAAGGCAGGTAATGTCGTAGAGGACGTCCCTTTTGGATATTCTTCTGCTAGCACCAGACCAGCGTTAGAATTTATTCCTGAAAAGAAAACATTTTGTAGGCGCAACACATTTTTGTCAAATTTATACACAACTTTTTTGTCGGATTTGGTCGGTTTGTCACTTTGTACCATTCGTTATAAAATGACACGCACGAAATAACACTACTTTTTTTCCAAACACTGCTTAACTCTGAATAGGTATGTTCGATCGAGCGACATGGAAAACTAAAACTATGTCAGATATTTTAAAAACAAAGAGTCGCTAAAATTATTCAGAAGCAAAAATTTTTAATTTGACTTTGATTTTAGAGTAGAATTAACATAAAACTTTGACAATTTAGACATTCAGTTTCATTTTTTCCTATTTCTATCTAAGAATAATTATTTTTAAAACTTTACGTGTATTTTATGGACTTGTTTTTATCACTGAATCAGTAATTATACGGTCAAACTGAGTACTAATGTAAGAATTTTGAAATCCTTTCCTCTTTCTTTTCTTTTGTAGTCTGGTTTTCCTTTCTGAAATCGTCATTGGAAGCTCAAATAGCTCGCTTTCTGGATTTATTAGTTGTCTAGGATGCACAGTTGTATAAATAACAATTTTTATCAGTTTTTTCGTCGAGTTTATCGTAAAAATTATCAGGTAGGGTCATTTCGGACACAAACGCGATTATTTTTCTGCGCTTATTTCACAAAATTATCACGTGTATATTACAATTAACAATATTGATTGCATTATTTATTTTTAAAATTGTTGTTTGTAGCAGGTCAGTAACAAAAACAATTGATATCGACTTACAAACTGAATGACAACAGACTACACAATTTTATCTTTTGCTAAAGATTATTGTTTACTTTTTAGTATTCCTAAATTAGTTAAAACAGTATTTAAAATACCTTTCGTGCATGAAAAAATTAAGCGACCATGTAAACCGCTCTTTTCAGTAGTTTTAAGAAATAAATAAACAAATGAGTACATCAGGTACGACAATACCCGTGCTTTGTAAATGCAAATGTATTTTTAATGTTTCGAAACGGGTGTAGAGTCAACAGAACATGCATCAATCTAAAATTACAAGCAGTGGTAAAACCTTCATTTGCACTTATCGAAATCTGTTAAATTAAACCCATAAATAAAATCACTATTTGATAATTAAACAAAAAAAAATTGATAATTTTATTACACAACATTTTAACGAAGTGAAGTAAACGTGAAGAGTTTATTCACATTTGGAAGTACAAAACACAAAACCATAAAAACATCCTGTTCGTTCTGACCAAAACATTTTTCTTTAAAAACACGTTATCAGTAGTAATAATGCAAAACAAAGAAAATACATGCAACTTTTGTTCAATTATTAAAAAAAAAGAAAATTATGAAACACATAAATACCTGAGTTGCTCCACAACTGAGCTGAGGGCGAGGATAATTCTGGTGATCCTGTTCCATAGTACGGCATTGTTCCCGCAGTATAACTAGTGGTGTTTCGTGGATATATAGTACTGAAAAAAACAGTAATTTAAATTTTATGCAATCGCTCAAGAATCAATTGTAAAAATGACGTAATTTGATAGAAAAACAAAGGGGCGGGAATCGTTATTCCTAAAAACACCCACTTCTTTGATAGGAGGTGTCTTAATATCGAAGACATGACCAGTTCCGATACCGTAATCTTATCACTCGAAGATAATTAATTACAGATAATACAATCACAGATGCACCACCGTTCAACTGAGTCGCATGAAAAATCCATGCCAGAAAAAGTCGTTCGCTCTTACAGTAAAAACTAAATAAAATAAAGCATGACAAAAACTAACTTGTGTTGTAAAAAATTTATATCCATCTCTGTGTTTTAATAGTAAAAAGTTTTAGAAACACGTACTTTGAAGTAACACACAACTTTTTTTACGATAATGATCAAAAGACGCGCGCACCAGTTTTTCAAGCATCGCCCGAACAGTTCGGACAAAGTGCGACAACTGACAATGGATTACTAATTGTTGGGTAAACCGAACGAACCATCTTACAAAGCTGCCAATGATCACGTGGGGAACGCTCTGACGTCACGTTTCAGCGCTCGTCCTGAATAAACCGCAAGCTGCGTCCTGTCTACACTCGCAAAAAAACAAAATTTGTTATAACACAAAACCCTTTATCGCCCACGAATGTACACCATTAACGACGGAACTAATGAATTATGTGAAAAGTACCTAACAGATCATTAAAGGTGTTAAAACGGTTAAATATTATAAAAACTATTATCCTTGAAATTTAAAAGTACTGTATTTCGAAAATTTAAAAATTCATATTTTTCCTTTTATGGAGTTCTTGGATTTCGTGATTTAAAGTTGATATTCCGTAAATTAAACAGTAGTTGCAATCATATTTAATCTTTATAATCCGAAAGATTTTTTCTCTAATTTTAATAGACCTGTCACAAGAATACAATGTTATCGGATATTTTTAAAGGGGTAACCTTTAAATCTGTTAAAATTAACACAAGATATTGTATGCGTTACGAAATTCATAAAACATCTTATTTGGTAGTAAATTTATTTAATTTTAAGTTATTTTATTATTTCAGATCTCGTAAAATACGAAATTACAGCCTTTTCGTATATGTTTTAATGGTGTCGTTCTTTGAAATTTACTGCACGAATACCAAATATGTATTCAAAACTACAGGATTACCAGTAAATTTTAAGTATAAGTAAGTACCTTAAAATTATCATGAATTACTTACTGTCTCAATTAAAAATGAGTATGTTAATTCTCTGTAAAAAAAACAATGACGTCATTCCAAAATTTTGTAAAGTAAATGCCACTTGAAGTGCATAGTTTTATTTTACACATGTTATTTCAAAAAATGCTTGTGTTCACGTGAAATGTATTTTATGTAATTTTGAGATGAATAACAAATTTAATTTTTTTAACACTGAATTTCGTGTTCTACGACCTTTAAAATGCCAAGAAAAAACATGAAACTAAGAACTCTTCAAAATAACTCTTTTGGAATGCTTTTGCTATTGCTCGAGAAATACAATAGAACAGAAATAAAGATTTGACGTAGACGAATTTTTAAGAGCATATCTAAAAAAATGTTGTATCTTTTGCTTTGTCCTTGCAACACCGGCAAAATTGTTTTATACAATCTATAGGAAAACCTTGAAAAAAGTAAAGAATTTCACAGAATTTATTCTAAAACAATAACGTACGAAAAAGTATTCCGACTATTTGAAGGATTTTGTCATTATTTCGAACCGCGTCTTTAATATTTTTTCAGGCCACCATTACAAATGTGTCTAATCACGTCCATAGAATGTCACATTTTTGAACTGAAATGTCAAAATCACTTTTTGGACTCACTTGTCACTTTTTTGTAATCAAATATCAAAAATTTACTTTTGAGTCCTTGGCCTTGTGTTCTTGACTAACATTTTTTTAAGAGAAAAAGCCAAAAGCGCCGTTAGGTATTTGAGCTCCAGTTTATCGTTATGAAACATAACGGTACTTATTTTACTACTAAGCAAAGTAGCACTTTATCTTTATCAAATCTGCAGGACTTTTCCTCTAACAACGAAAAATTTTTTCTAACCTCAGAACCACTTACACAAACAATAATTTTTTGTATGGTCCCCTAAAAAACATTGTGTGCACCTCGGCAAAAGAGAACTTTTTCGGCCTTATCTGGTTTGCAGACCTCCGCTACGCTTCAACGTCAAAATTCAGACGGGCCGAAAAAGTTCTTTTTTATGGCCTTAATACATAAATAAATATTTTATGTTTTGATTATCTTTCTTTCAGAAATTTTTTTAGGTCTTATAAGACGTCTTACATAAATATACCTACTTAATTTAATTTCAAAATATGTTGGTGAATGAGTAAAAAACAACGATTTGTTCGTGTAAGTTTTTCTTATTTATTTTATTAGATATTTACATTAGCATCTAAAAATGTTTCAAAATCACTATGACTTTGACAGGATCTGTACATAAAAGTGTTTGTTCTGACTGACAGACTGACTGATTCATCAAGGCAAAACCTAAACTACTGAAGTTAGAAACATGAAATTTCGACAGTACCCATAGGTTACATTTTTTTACATTACCTAAAATATTTACGTTCATCATCAAAGCAATACTCGTATAAATTTTAGCAATATTTTAACGATTTTAAAATATAGTTGATTACTTCATTTAATGTTTTCAAATTTAAACAAAAGTTTATTTCATACAAGTCTTTTTTGAACAACTACTTTAAAATACTTTTTTTGCAAATGTAACAATTTCTATACGTACCTGAAATATTTCTGTATGTTCAACTGTTCGAACAAACGGTTCATTAACGTTAGTAATACTGTTTATAAAATACATCATGTCCGTGTAAAATTACGTGCATAAAGTAGAAAAATGATTGTTAAAACTTAAATTATGCTTGTACGAAGCGTTCAGTTTTGAGGTAATTTTATTGCTTTTCTTACAAAACCACTACAATTTGTTGGCAGTCTATAACCTCCGAAGGTCATATAGTTTCAAGTAAGCATCGTTTAAAGGAAATTCGATTTGTTTTATTTTGGCACGTAGTTTTAGTTGGGTCATTTAAATAATTATTTTTTAATGACAAAATAACTTAACAAAAAGTTTAAAAAGACGTCGGAGGCACATGTTCGGGTGCATATAACTTTAAGGTAATTAATAATGATTGTTTTATGGCGACAGTACCGACAAATCTAGATGAATTTTTTGTTCAGTATAGAGTTATAATCCGCCTAAATAGCTGTGGTATGTTCTCTTGAAAACATACCCAATAAAAAATCATTTTTGTTTATTTTCTGCAAAAAAAAGGCTACAACTCTTGGTATAAACCCATCGGTGGCGCACTTTAAATGTTAGTATTAATTATTAAGAAGAAAAATAAGCACCAGAACTCTGGTTAGGAATTTGTGCATACATAAATGTTTATTGATAGATAAGATTCTATAATCGCCACGTCCATACAGTTCAAACTATGGAATTTTTAGATCATCAGTTTATCACGTTTTTAAATCAATATTAACACTTGAACCTAGTTTAAATTTATATAAAAATAAATCAAAACCATCATACAAAAAGACGTAAACAGAACTAATTAAGCTATTAATTTTTTTCTTCCCTGAACTTTAACCACACTTTAATCATTTGTTGATTTTAAAGAAATATAAAATAAAATTAAATCTAGATATTCAACAAGCTTTCTTCATTGTGTTCCACAATATTTTTCCATTTTAAACACTCGGTTTTCCGCCAGCATTGGTAATAACATGCGGGTTTTCTTATCAGTAAAACGGGGTAATGTGCTCGTTACGCTATTGATAAGAAAATATACATTTAAACGCACCTTGGCACAAAGAAAAATTAAACGAGAAAAGCGTATTTGTATAATATACCTACTAAAAAATCTATCCCAAAACTAAAACACCAGCACAATAATTACATCACGATTTGCTGCCAAATTTGGTAAATCGATAAAAAGTTTGTAATTAATATCAAAACGCTGACAATAAAATAAAAATAAATAAAACGGTGAGTATAAAATAACACAACTATAAGAATAAAACACTCTCCAACCGCATTATACTTCTAGCATGCACTAAAATAATAATATTTAAGTTCATTAACCGTGCGTTAATAAACTGAACCGTCAACAAATTGAAAGTCAATGTCAAGAACGATCGCATGAGATTAGTTCAAAGACAAATAAATAACGCAACTATTGTTGCAGGTGTTTAAAGCTGTTTCATAGCTTAAATACTTAAAAACTAGAAAATTTGTGTTCAGTTTAGCGAAACATCCTGGTCGCGTGCCTAAGCGCAAGAATACGAACACCGGTTAAAGTAAGTACTACTTCATGTACCGGTAGTACCCAGCTTTTAGAAGTGTGTCTTAACACTTTGCGCACGTGGAGGCGATGAAGCGAAATTGCGTTTCCGCTTTTCTAAGTTCGAAAACTTTTTACATTAATAATGAGCATTTAACATAAGGTACTGACTGAACGATGAATTATTCAGTCCATACTTCATATACGACATGGAACTGTAACAGGAAAGTTTGACTTGGCTTGATAAGAATACTTCCTGTTGAATATTTTAAAGCGACAATAAAATAATGATTTGTGTAAAAAACCTATTTACGACTGTATATTGCCAACGTGGATCGGTTACCACTGACGCAATGAAGCTACTGGTATGCATTTTTCGGTTTCAGAAACCACGACAGATAGAGTTGAAAAACTGGTCAGTTCCTAATAGTTTTTTAGATAAAGGGTCGTCTGGTTGGCAGCTAGACGGTCAATTTGTAAAATACATTAAGAAAGGTATCTCACTAAATGTTTATAAATGACTGCCCAGCGTCGAAAACAACAATTCCATCGATGACCTTGACGTGACAAAACGTCAAACAGGAGAATTCAGTTCTTTGTTAGAATATTACAAACAGTGAGCGTTCTGCATATCAACCGCTAAAATTCAATACGCTTATCTTTGAAACGAGACACGGATTTGTTTCATAATCGTTAAAAATAAAAATATACTTTCAATAGGAAACCAAAACTCGCGTTTGTAACTTAAGTCGTAGCGATATGAAAATCTTATAAATATTATGATATACCAACAAGGCATGTGTGATTAACTAGAATAGTGAATCACGATAAGTATCGATGATGAGCAGATTTTTTAAATAAACAGACCCATGCTATGTTAATCTAACTGATTCGATTTTTATTGGTTATAGATACTATCGCTTCCATTCGAAAATGTAAAAACCCAACCATGCCAACAAGTATTACGATTAAGCTCAGTTATGGCTTCTCAAGGCTCTAGTCAAATTACGGAAACAAATAATTGCGAGAACGTTATGATACACAACACCTACATGCCAATATAACTTGTGATCACAATAAATGAGAAAACAATCGAATTGAATCGTAAATTAATTCATACTCTTTCAGAAATCTGAGGTTCTAAATTAATTTTGAATAAATTGTGTTGCTTTTTTGAAAAAATATTTCCTATCGCAAATAAAAAGCCTGGTTATTATATGTTTACTGAAACACAAATGGGACAAATTGTATTATCAAGAATATTTGCTTTTAATTTAGCTAAAGTCCTGCAAAAGTCCAAAATTCGAGATTTGGAATTTTTTCCCGTGTGTAAATATTAGTTAGTATAAGATAATATAACTAATTAAATAATTAACTAAATTAATAGGTGCCGATGAAATATTCAACACACACATGTTAGATGCATATATAGAGCAAAAAAATTACTAGATTCATCTTAAATTCATTGCACTTTTTCCAACCGAATTTAATGGTTTATCAGTATTTGTTTTTTTTATATGAAGAGACAAGATAAGGTGCTTAAGTTTTAATGTGAAACAACAGTAATCAAGCAAATATCAGATAGTCTTCAGCAATCAGTATTAAAATAAAATTATCCTGTTTTGGTCATAAATTTATAATGCGAGTATACTGAAATATAATTTATAACCATATTATTGAAAACAAGACGAAGGTGTACCTCTACAATGTTTAAAACGCAGCGAGAGTAGATTTAATTTGAATTTCATCCTACACAACAAGTATAGATTCTTCGATTTAACATGTTTTCTTACACCACAATAATGTATATCAGATATGGCAAAAATTTACAAATTGACGAAAAATAGGTATTCTTTTGCTCTAGAACCATACCTAGATTTATACCTAATTTTAAATTTGAATATTTTGTGTAATTAAGAATATTGTGACATGGTTAAATATTTCGTTTGATATGAAAACGACTTTTCAACATACTACACGAAAATATTTTAACAAAATTATCGCTGCATAATTTAGTTTAATTTTAAGTAGAACGTGCACGTTTTCAAAAATGTGTTCAAGTGACTGTAAATTTTATTTTTGGAAACATTTTTAAAAATACCGCTGTGAAAAATAATTTCACTTTGTGCACTTTATACACATGGTTGATAGAATATTGAAATCTAGAGAATACAAAAAAATGACTTAAGTTTTACAAAAAGCTGCAAAATATAGAAAAATCTGTAACTTTTAAACTTGTAAACTTGAATTTTAATTTAAAAAATTGTCTTTAAATCTTCATAACCAACCCACATAACGTAAGTACAACTGGCGATTATCAACTCCGGTCCGAAGTCGTAGGTATCTCGTTAAACCGGTACCTGGAGTGCCTTAATCCCTCGCCTTATAACTCCGATCCAAACTGATAAGAGCATTTATTGTAAACGTTGAATAGATTTTAGCTGCCTTTTTTAAATTCCAATTTTGAAATCCGTGAAACTAAATAAGTCCGAAAAGAAAGAAAGGAGCGAAGATGACCACGGATCGAAATTACGGTGTCGGATTAGAGAACACCCGACCTGGATCAGAGTTGAGTTTCTCCTTAGAAGCAATGTTGGTCAACTTTTTCAATCCTCTTATAGGAGTTTGAAAAATAACCAGTCAAATAAGACTGTTTACACAAACTTCATTTGACATACCCCTGTTAAAACTTTTATGACTTAAGCGGCTGAAGCCAAAGCACCCTTATAAGTCAAACTGGCTATTGTAAGCTTTGTGGACCCGAACCGCAAGATTATTACTGTCCATTATTGGCATAATTTAGCTGTGAACTGAGTTAAGTAATACCTACAATAGCCAGTTTGACTTATAAGGGTGGTTTGGCTTAAGCCGCTTAAGTCATAAAAGTTTTAACAGATGTATATCAAATGAGGTTACTTTAGTATTTTGTGTTGATGAGGCGTTTACTTGTTTAAACTCCCTCTTAACTTCAATGAAAAATAGCAAACAACTTTTTAAAGATTTAAAATTAAATTCTCTAGAATATCTAAAAATTAATGGGTACCTATGTAAAAGATTGAATAATAGGCTTATGAGTGACCAAACGCAGATAAACAAATCCTTAGTCAATTTCAGATAAATGCAAATCCTTATTGTAAACCCAGTTACTCTTCTGCCTGAAGACTAAAGACACGTGAAACAGTGTTCTACAATGAAGTACCTACCTAGTATTTTAGACTATAAAAAGTTGTTTAATACTTTTTAATAAACTCAAAACTGTTTAATATGTTAATTTGTGAGCGAAAAGTTCTAAACGTTTTGATGACATTTTCGTTGCTGACGCAAGAGATGCACATAATCAAAAACTTACAATAAAGTTGTCCAAAAGTTTTAAATATTTTTCAAGAAATTCAGAAATTTATTTGCGCAATTTTTTGGATACTGCAATTTAGAGAAAACTATATAGATACTTACGTAATAACTATAGAACTAATATTGAAAATATCATATTTTCTTAACTAGAATTGTATATATGCAAAAGCATTTCTACAATGTGCACAAGCACTTAAACAACACTGTTTTGGAGCTGCCATTTTCTCCATGAAGGTTTTACTTCGTAAAAAAATCAAAAGAGCATGAAACAGTGACTATCGATGAAAATTTATGAAGAACCCACCCTGAAACAAATAACTTTGGAAAGTTTACCTACGTACAGTAAATTCACTTGACATACAACTTGTAAAACTTTTATGACTTAAGCGGCTTAACTGGCTATTGTATAACTTAACTCAGTTCGCAGCTCCATTATGGCAACAATGGACAGCAATAATCCCTGTGATTCGGGTCCACAACGCTTACACTAGCCAGTTTGAGTTACAATATAAGTACCTATATTCAACCACAAACTGGTATTTAAATAACAAAAAAATGTAATTAAAATACTGTTTTCATTGTCACATGCTTATAATCACACTTGCTTATATTAATCAAATGGCAATAAAAAAAATCAACATTGATGAATTCACAAAAAAATCTAAAAATAACTGTTAGTATCAATATAACTTCATGTGATTCAAAAAGGAAAATATTCTAGTCAAATTTCGAAATACTACGTACAGTATGTACTCAAAAACGGCGCACTAACTGAACGGTGCACTATTAATTTGACAAATCGAAAAAAATAATTCAAAAGTTACTTGCGTCGATTTGAGTTTCATTTATACAAAAAAGGTGAAAAATTAGTCACTTAGATTCATTTGGAACAATTTTTAAGTTTTTTGTGACATTATATGAAGAAAACGGTGGATAAAGATTAGATACCACCAAAATTATTTCGAATATAATGAAAATCCGATCGAAATCGAAAATATGGTGAAATCTCCAAGAAAAATTACAGTTTGAAGATCTATGTTATATTTGGGCCCAGAATTTTTTTCTCTGCTCAATAAACAGTCCTTAACGTGTGTTTTTTGAGCACCCCGTTTGACCTATAATTTATAATCTATTTCAGAAATTATTTTAATCACAATTTCTTTTATCTCTGGTAAAAAATTCTACTCGTATTCAGTTGTAAATTTTACATAATAATCCCAAACATAAAACGTGTCTAAAAAAATATAAACAACCATCGACATATTCTAAAATTTTGGTTCTTCAATAATGCCACATTAAAACAGCATGATATTCCTAAAGCAGTATAATGATGCATTTAGTCATGAATTAATTATCCAGTTATATCAAAGCCACTTTTAAAATTTTGTCTATTGTATTTTATACTATATGTATAGAATACTTGCAAAACAAAGACAATTTCTAAGAGTGTTTTAAAAATTATCAATAATAAAGCAGCTAAAGTTTCTCATCGTAGTTCTAATGAAAAAGCCACTGATGTTGAATTATTTTATTACTGGTATTAGAATATAAAGTTGTCAACAGACATTAATCAAATTTTGTTTCAGTTCTTCGTTCCTCTGAATGTGGAACAAGCATAATTTATCTATTAAAATAATAAGAGTTAAGTTTGTGCTATTATGATTTTCTGGTAGTTGCAAATAATGTCAAGTAATTCAGTATATATACAGAGTGTTATTTACCTGGCTAAATTAACTCCAGATGGTGAATCGATTTCTCCTGTGTAACTTATATGGCTAGTTAACTGAGTGAGATGGGATCCTTCGATGTTGGTGGGATGTTCTGAAGGAATGGAACCGAGGTGAGTAAATGCTACACGTCTAGGAGATCCTGAACTAGAATTAGCACTTCCATTGGGAGATCCATTAGAAACGTTATGTACTGTGCCTAGTTGAAGGTATTCCGTGCCCGGGGATTCGTCAATTGGTACCTGTACAAAAGTAGGCATGAAAGAGATCTTACAACGTACTATTATTTAGAAGTTGTCCACAGCATATATAGAAATTACCTTCAAATATATCATAGACCTCCGAAAATGTTTAAAAAAACCGTTTTTAGTAAAAGGTTGTGATCAGTAAAAATTATAAACGTAGTAGTTTGGGACACTTTTACCTTTGCCAGATAATATACTTTCTAAGAGGGTGTTACCTCGTCTATCCTCGTGTTATTGAAAAGGATATTGTAATCCCCTTCTGCCCGCATCATGGTTGGGTAATTTTCCTGATCGGCTTCTGTTGTATAGGGCAGAGATTCGAGAGGCGTTGTCGCTCGGGAGTGGGGCGAAGGCTCGGCCCCCTCATGATGGGAGGCGGGACTGTACTGTGTAGGTTCTTCGCTGTAGCGACCATCAATAGCTGCAATTTAACAAACCAACATATGTATTTATGGTTGCCTATGTTAACTTAGGTTCATACATAATAATGCCAAACTAGTGTTAAAAAAGCTTTTATCTTTCAGGCAGTAAGAAGAAAGAACTAGAAATGTAAAATAGGTAAAGGTCAACAATAATAAGAAATTACATCTTCTACTGTATTCATCACAAGTACATATCTATTAATTACTTTACTTACTGCAATTTTTTCCAAAATTCGTCTGCAATTTTATCTTTATACCTAACTGAAGAATTTTCTATTAATTTTACTATTGTATATTCACAATCATCCCCAAGATTAAAAACTTATCTTTATCTTGACTGATAACAAAGAAAGTTATTGTAATGGCATCAGTGATTTGATGCACATCTGTTTTCATGTTTTCTAGAGGTTTCACACAAAGTTTAATACGAAAAGGTTAATTTCTCCGTTACACCTCTCTGTCATCTATTATATACCTAGTTCAAATTTATTGGATAGAGAAAAAAACTACAGGCCACGCTGTTTTGCTTGAGGTCAATCGACCTTTGTTGCAGATTACGAGATTTAAGTGTAAGAGTTTAAAAAAAAGGTTTATGACTTATTTGACAAGCTTATTATTCATTGTCTCCATAAAGTTAATGGTGTCGTGTTCAAAAAATTGTTAGGTAAATGTTGATTGTAAATACGCCCTTAGTTCACTCATAGCATGAATTTTAATAATTATATTTAAAACTGATACTCACGAAAAATTTTCATCTAATTTTCCTAAGAATCTGACACTAAGAGCACAGAGCACAGAGCAAACTTTAAAGAGTTAAAATTATTTTATTTGCAGACACTGCGACACCTGTTTCTTCAGGCGCAGAGTACGAATTGTGTACATGACATGAATGCACTCTTTCCGCGTTCTCAAACCCTATAATGCAGGTAAAAATTACTCTCCACTGGAAAATCCAGTGTTTTGTGACGTCAGGGTAGGATATTTCACTTATGTAAATATAAATGAACACAGAGATGAACTCTAAAAATAAACTGACGAATACATAGTTTTACTGAAGTTTCATTCTTACAATAATATTACTCTATACCCAGCTAAAATGTACATAATAAAATGTATATTCAGTTCAATTAATAGATAAATTGTGTTAACCTGCCATGTTTTATAGAATCAAATTTTCCTCAGTCTGATTGTAAATTAGTGCACATATTTGTATATAATCTACACAGATGCTAATGGCTGCTGTCTCCTCGTATCATATGGGTCCACAGTGAAAAATTTTGAGGAGCAACAACAAATGCTTGCACGCGAAATATAATAACTCATTTAGTTCTCGTCATTCTAATAGCTTTACCTTGTCGAAATATTAAAGAAATTTTTCTTTATGTAAAAATTTGGTTTTCTTTAATGAAGAAGTACACCATACTTAGAAGTTAAAAATCCAAAAAAATTTTACCTTGGTACCTACTTCATAGAGGATAAAGCGGTGTGATAATATTTCCAGTAGTATGGGGTGTTTGGAATACGCGCTCGGTTAAACCACGCCCCTAGTTTCGAGAGTATCGCTAAACAGTGGCGGGGCAGACTTACTCAAGTTATACATTTATTATCTAGTTATGAAAACTAAGTCTGTTATGCAGCTGAAACGAACAAAAGAATTTACAACCTTAACTTTTGCAAAAGTGATTTGCTTATTCCGTTTGGTCATTCATCAAGTTAGTAAGTCTATTGTATGTACCTAACTATTAATTTGTAAACATTCTAGGGAGAGTTTAGAAAACTTATGTTGTGAAATAGATTCTCCTAATTTGGTCATAAATATTTCAGACAATAGAGAGTTAAGGGGATTTCCCATGGCTATGCCTTCTCTTTGTCGGAAGAATTTACCAACAAATTTAAAGTAATTTAGGAATACTTAAATATTACATAGATGGTTTGAATACCCTTATCAAAGAGTAACTTTGAAGACGAACTTAGGTACTAGAATCAAAATAACAGCCAATAGTAAGGGTTTTTCTGACGAACTTATAGACAACATGCTAAAAAAGAAAATACAAAAAATTACATCAGCACTAGTATATTCGTTAATTAAAGAAACCATTCAGTACAATAGCAAGTAAGTATAACTTATTTTGGAAAACCGTCTGTCAAAATTTAAAAAATACTGCAAAATGCAGGCTGTAAAACAGCTTTCGAAACTAATAATTCTTTACAGTAGAAGCGTTTCTGCTGTATACAATAAAATATTATGATGGTTTAAGCCACTTAACTTCACAGAAGTTTATACCCACCATAAATTGCAAATTTAAAATCTGGCAGGCCGCTCAGATTAGTGGTCTTCTGACCAGTAATCTGAGCGCTTTTTCAGCCAGGGCCGGGCCGTATTAGAATTTTCCTGGAATACGACTTAATGTGAAATTTTACGGTTGAAAAAGAATCTTCCATTAGGGTAAATGTGTACAAGAGTACGCACTTAGTGTAAAACTGTCAACAACTTTTTAATTTTTTTGGATAGACAAATTTTATGATATAGGTTCGTTATATACATGTTTAGAGATCAGATATATTTAATTGTACGTCCCAACACCACTATATTTTAAGAGTAATTTCAATTTTTGTCAAGATGTGTAAATGCGCACTCTTAGACAGTTCATTGCGCAAGAGTGCGCATTTGAAGGCTTATGAGTACGCATTACATTTTATGAAAAAATATTTGTTTCTAAGGTGAAAATAAATGGGAATAAGTGACTACAGACTTCACATAAAACGGGAGACCTATTTCTTCGTACTCTAGGGGTCTTGAAAAGTCGAGAAAACGTAAAAATAGAGAGTCGGTCGACGGACTCGATTACAACACGTTCAGGAAGTAAAAATAAAAAAAAAATCACCATAACCACCACCACACAACTTGAAAAGCAGTACAAAGTAGTAGAGTTAAATAATTCATTATCGTATGATATGTATCTCCAAGACTATTAGACTACGTATTGCAAGCAATACGCACTCTTATACAATACCTCGCTGCGCACTCTTGTACATTTGTACATAACCTAATGTTTTCAAAGTTAAAAGCTTTTGATGGATAGAAAGTATAAAACTGTTAGTGTATAACGAGACCTTAAAAGTTACAACTAATGAAAATTATTAAGGTAAAATAAAAGAACTGGTACGTACCTTACAAAAAACTAAAACTATGAGCGGTAAAAATTACATCCACACAACGTGTGAACATAAATTCGTCAGTACGACCAAACTATAAACTATATTCAGATCACTTTTGCACCTTTATCTCAGGTTTAGCATTAAATTCGAAATGGTATAACTTCATCTTACCCAGATGGCACTAATAAACAGAAATCAGCAGTGCGTACTCTTATACATATTCGCACTCTTGTACACATTTACCCTAATTAGTTAGTTGTCGATGTTGTCGACGTTCGCCTGTGATAGACACAAGAATCTCCAATTTGTGCGATTGTTTTCATGAAATGGCTTTTTGGCGTCCTGTCAATTTTGACGATTTCTCTTCAAATGCAAGCACAACCACTGTTGTAGTGTAGAAGAAGTTTTGATCAGTTCCGAAGATTCGAGTAGCGAACAGGAAAATGCTTATAATCCCCCAAAACGAGGAAAATGCTTAACTAATGCCCATATAAAATGTATTAGCACTTGCTACAACACTTTAGTGTCCGAAAATATCCATCTCCGGTATTACAAACTTCAGTAAGTATTATTAAAATATTCGGAATCCACCGTTCGAAAAGTGATATACCCGAAAAAATCAGGAAAGTCAAATAGTCGTACTTCCAAACTATTTTCAAGGGTTAATGAAAGCATCAAAGAAGCAACTGTGGCAAAAATTTATGCAGCGTATGGGAAAAATTTTTTTTGCACTCATGACCTTTTTTGATAGCTTTCGCGCATTCACCAGAGTGCGGGAGGTCGAACTTCCCGCACACGTGCATTTAACTTCCCGTTGCCATGGTAACCTTAAAATACTCGGGTAGTGTCAACATTGTGACGTGTTGACGGCGCTGTCAATGGCGTTGTTTATAAATAACTCACAGTTAATCTCTTCAGTTTAAAGGTTTATTCGTCGCAAAAAATATTGTACACAACACGTTCGTGAGCCTGCTTCCCGCATTCACGCAAATGCGGCACTCCCTTCGGTCGTGCCTCAAACAAGCGTTCATGCGGGAAGCAGGCTATCCCGAACTAGTTGCGTAAATTACTATATAGGGACGGCCAAATCATTTCTATGCGCGTATATGTTGATTTCATTCGGACCACAATTTTAGTAATTCCGGCCCGCATCTTAGCTATCCTTATTCTGGTTGAATATAGCCGAACTTAGCCAACCCCTCGTAATGACATTGTAAAATTTTATTGTATACAACAGAAACGTTTCTACTATAGGTACAACAGTCACCTAAAAATTCAAATTCTTGAGTCCACATGTTAAGTCGTTGTGATTGTCCTTTGGTACACGTTGGACAAACCGGGAGAAGATTGGAAGAAAGAATCAAAGAACACAAGGCATCATACATTAATAAAAAATTAAATTCCACGTACGGGAACCACTTAAATCAAGAGAACCACAATTTTAACAATCTCAAAATTTTACACGTTAAAAATATACCTAAAGGTTTAAAATTAGAACGTTGTGAAATTAATAGGTACAATAGACTTAATAAATTGATGAACGGCCAAACCGAGATAAGCAAATCACGTTTGTTAAACTTAGGTTGTAAATTCTTTCGTTAGTTTCAGATATATAAACGAAATAATCTTTTGTAAAACCAGTTTCTCTTCGGTCTGAAGATGGTACTGTGTACCGAAACATGTGTAATAAAGTCTACAAATAAAATAATTAATAATTAATAATTAAAGTTTTTCACTTTACTAATGAAGTTACACTGATGCTAATCATAAATAGACGGCGTGTACCATAGAGAAAGGAAGATTTTCTTGTTTTGTATTTTACCGGTTAGCACAAAAAAAT